GAGGGGGTTTGGGCGCTCCCCCCTGTCATACTGATCCCGGTGCCGGGAGGCCACTCGGTTCTGCTGATCCCGGTGCTAGGAATCATATTACCCTTTTACTATATAAGATAGAGGCCTGGTGCATGGGTGCGGGCTGGCTGGTTTGCCCTGAAGGGTGTCCTGGATCAGGGTGGGGGTCCCGCTTGGGTGCCTGGCCAGCCTGGATGAGGCGATGATGGCTGTTTGCAGCTGGTCACACACCCTTCAGGGTCGGGGTCCCTACTGGGGTGCCTGGCCAGTCTGGGTGAGGGGCTGAGGGCCGTTTTCAGGCTGGCGGGTTACTGAAGCTCCCAACCACTCCTTTTTTCCTTTTTTTTTTTATTCTTGGATTTATGGCTGTCACTGGAGCTGAGAGCGGGCTTTAGCTATGCGACCTCACTGCTGAAAGCAGGTTTCTGGATTTTGTTTACTTTCTGTATTTGAAACTTTGTTGCGACTCCAGCTCTGAATTCCCAGCTGACTGAAAACAGGTTTCTGGGGTTTTGTTTAGCTTCTATATTTGTAACAATGTTTCTTAGCAGCTCAGAGCCCAGCAGCGGCAGATGGGGAACGTTGGAGTCCTCCATCACTGAAGCAAGCAAGCCTCCTGTTCGTGTCAGTAGCCTGGCTGCTGGTGGCCATCTTGGCTGGCAGTTAATTTGCATATCACCCTGATTAGCCAATGGGAAGGGTAGCGGTCATATGGCTAATTACCATGTTTCTCTTTTATTAGATAGGATATTATAAATAACTTTATATTATATATATGTATATATATATATATATGACATCAAATTGATGCACAAAGGACAACTAGTATGGCCTTTTAAAGGAAACTTTGAATGTCAAAGGCTTCTTTCTACAGGAATTCTAGGCCTTGGAGCCAAGTGAGTGAGGAAGCTATTTTTGTTGGAAGGAAGCCCAGTGATAGCATTAGAGTACCTCTCTATTTGGTTCACAGTGCTGGCTGGCATCCTGGAAAGAGATAGGTTCTCCAAAAGCCCCTTCCCTGGCCACACACTCCTGAGCTGTGGCAAAAAGCTTTGCCTTGCACAGGCTTCAGCACCACTGCTCCAGGGTTGATAAACAGAACCACCAGCAAGAGACAGTGGGCAGGCTGTGTTCAGAGATAGGTGGAAAGGGCTTTGAAATTATGAAATGCCAAATACTATCTGGAAGTAGTAAATTCCAAATAATACAGGAAGAAAGCATCCCTGTGGACAATGAACACTTAATATCCACAAAAATACTTGTTTGGGAATAGAATCCACTTATCCTCAGAGCACCACAGTCAGTGCAAAACAAAGAGAAAGCAGACCTGTGAAAGCCACATCTGTCATTTAAACTGGCAATTTGTCAGCATCAAAGGGCCAGTAAGAAAGACTCTACCAACCAGACTAAAGGCTCCTGGAGGAACTTTGCATGTTTGTGTTCTTCCTAAAAACTGGTAGAATTGTAATTAATCATTTTACTCATGACCAGGGGTGGGAATAGAATACAGGTCTCTTGTTCTAAGATAGGAATCTCAAAATTCTTCCATTATCCCCGAACATAAACACTATGCACATGTAGAAATAACCATCTGCTTCAGAAATTCTATTCTGGTGGGTTCCATTTTTTTATTCTGCCAAAGATCTTAGTATTTACGATGAAGTCATGCCAGCCTGTTACATGCCCCTTTGTTTTTTATGCTGTGAAGTCTCTCTCTTGCTTTCACTTAACTTCAGAATTTTGATATGATTTTTCCCCTTTTCCATATAGGTGACTTCTCTCACCCTTGATCTTGTCCCTGTCCCTGCTTCCTTCAACTCCTTTGGCATTGAAATTTATCATCATAGCACACACGCCTGCATAGTGCACACACTCTGACACATATAAATACATGCACCTAAACAGGCTCACACATCTGAACACGACACTTAAATCCCAGAGGTTCATAGATTACCCTTGAGAAGTTGTATTCTTAAGTCACCCCAAACCTCATAACATTATGACACCTAGTTAAACTCAAGTGTGGACTGATTGGTGTGAAAAAGGGCTCATGTCATGGGTTTGTTTGTTTTTTTAAGTCTCATCTACAGAATATCTTTAAGGACATGGAGTTTTGTGGTGGTGTTTTTATTTTTAACTTCATAGAACATATATTAATTGAAGATTCTTTTAGAATGCTGCTCACTTTAGAATGTTGCTAAACTTCTCTGTAATTAGTAGCAGCAACATTTAAAAAGTATTTGCATCTTCAAAGGTAGTTTCCTTCTTAGCAGGTAAACTATTTGCTCCTATAATCATGCTTAGGCTTAATAAACACTTTCTTCATATATGTAGTAGGCTTCATCTCATACCTCTGGAATTACTAATCTCTAAAGGTATTGAGTCTGGATTAATGACATATTTCTGTATCACTTATCTGATTGAAGAGCATGGAATTAGTGAGGTGAAAATTATCATAGAGCACCACTATAAAGACCAAGATTTTAGAAGTAAGTGATTTATTTGTCTAGTGTGTTAAAGAAACAAAGAGTTGAACTAACAACCTAACACTAAATGTTTACTTAAAAGCTTGAGAAAGTGCAGAACTCAAAGTCTAATGGCCCTGACCCCTCACCAGGCCCTATCCCTTTTGCAACTAGTTTTTGGGTATCCTGGCTGGGGCAGCTCCAGAAGAGAAGGAAGGGGATTAAACCTCTGAGACCATCTGGTCCCTCCAGAAAATCATAAGATTCCTGATCTATGTTTTTAGGAAATTTTTTTCTCAGCAAAACAAGCTATGAAATTCAGATTTTTAACATTAAGTTCATAGTAAAAATGTGTATGTATTTTCAGCTTACAGATATACACCCCTGATTAAAACTCAAGTGACTTATTCAAGGTCAACACTAAAACTGCTTTTAGGAATCAAGTACTTGCTTCCATAAACTATAAGATCAGATGCAACACAGCAAGTGTTGCAATGGGGATGGTTTCCACGATGTAGACAATTTTGATATGCCATTTTAATAATTTTTATTGCACAGATCTCTTCCTTTTTTAATGAAACAAAATAATTCAAGAGACAGCAAGCATATACAAATCAAATGGTATACTGTGGATCAATTATAAAGGCTAGTCAGGCATTTCAGATAATACCTGCTAGAAACCAGGAAACAGAAATGAGATGAAGGCACAGAAAAATGCTTCACTATGTGTGACACAATCTTTTCAAGACTCAATGCTGACTTGGTCAAAATGTCAAGCTAGACTTTGAAGATAAGATACAATTCTCAATTTGTCAATGACTCACCTATGGCCCAAAACAAGTCACTTATCTCTGGGCCTTGGGAAGGACTCTTAAGGGCAACGAACAAAGAACAGGGATGGAAAGTCCTCTGTGAACTAAGAGGAACCAGCTGTCTACTGAAATTCCTGGAAAATTTCAGGAAGGTTTGGGATTTTCCACTTCTCAACCCTGAATGCCTGGACCTGCCTGTTTCATTCAGTCCCTATCATGAAGGCTCAGTCTAACATGCTTACAGGGGTCTCTCACAACTCTAAGCCTCCCCAGGGAACCATCCGTCTTTACAGGTCATAGGCTTCTTGGAGGCCTCAGGGCATGGGGCCTTCCCAGCTGTGTCCAGAAGAGGATTCACTTCCTACCATCAACACCACAGTTGATAAAGACCCTCCTGAGCCCTCCAAATGAGTTAAACCTTCTTAAGAAATAAGTAGCTTTTGAAAGGAATTGAGAGAGAGAGAGAGAGAGAGAGAGAGAGAGAGAGAGAGAGAGAGAGAGAGAAGGAAGGAAGGAAGGAAGGAAGGAAGGAAGGAAGGAAGGAAGGAAGGAAGGAAGGAAGGAAGGAAGGAAGACATGGGGTATAAGGAACCTGGTAAACTGGAATGATACTCTTTTCTGTTTGATAGTTACCTGTAACTACAGCCATGCCCCTCATGAAATACAAGATGAAAATATGTACAGATATGACAGAAAAGAGTTATCTATCTCTCCCCTTCCCAGATAAACTTTATGCTGAGCAGTAAGCACTTCATATCCCTGAATGGCAGCTGACCTCCCAGTCCAAGTGGGCTTGGAGGCCAGGCGCCACAGTTCCACGTGCTTTCTCCCTGCAAAAGGAGCAACTTTGGCTCAGTGAGGGATGAAACCCTGAATACCAGGGACTGAAAGGACTTTTGTTTTAGACAATCTTTGAAAGCTTCATTTTCTTTAGCTCTGGTCCTATTCATGTCCGTCGACAATGACTTACTGTTCAGAAAGAGCTGCATCTGCCAAAAACATTGGACCTTGAGAGTCTACATCAAAAGTTACCCCTGGCTCTCAGAAGCCTGCCCTAGGTCTGGGATATCCACAACCTAGTGAAGTTAAAGCTGTGGTGTAAAAAATATTGACAGTTGTCAGTCCTAGGCAGTTCAGCCCCCTGGCCCCAAGTGATGAGGAAAAAACACAAGTCTGAGCAGAGAACAGAGCTTTCCCTAGCGGATGAACCCAAACCTATCCTGCTTCTTTGTAGCAGAAGCTGGAAAGTAGGTGAGACATCCTACTTGCTGCATCTTCTTGTATCCCTTATCTGTAGCCACCTGTCTATGTTATAGGCATCTGGACAGGTGACCATCTGACCCTTCCTTCATGGACTCCAGTGTTTGTAGGGACATGCCCTCTCAGGGCTGGCAGAGATGCCAGGCATCATGCTACATAGAAGATCAAATAAAAAGTGGTCCTTGCCCTAGCCAGTTTGGCTCAGTGGATAGAGTGTTGGCCTATGGCCTGAAGGGTCTCAGGTTTGATTTTTGGTCAAGGGCATGCACTTCAGTTGCAGGCTCCATCCCCGGCCTGGTCCTGGTGTGTTCAGGAGGCAACCAATCTCTCTCACTATCTCTACCTCTCCCTTCCACTCTCTCTAAAAATCAATGCAAAAATATCCTTGGGTGAGGATTAACAACAAAAATGTGGCCCTTAAATGTTCTGGAAGAGAAAAAGAGAGAATGAGACACTGGTGGGGTAGCAGGAAGTAGAAGCCTGGGTGTCCTGTGAGTCTTCCTAAGGGGCTGGGGACCAGGAAGAAAAGCAGGTCTGCTGAGTCAGGAACTTC